CCAGCAGACCCCCAACCCAGTTTCCCCCCCCCCCCCCCCCACCCGGCACAGGGTCAGGAACAGAGCTGCCAATCAGCATCATTGTCAATTAGAATTGGAGTCCTGAAAGCTTTGTGGGGGGAGGGGGGGAGATCAGCACCTCCACCAGCCCCAGGAAAAAAAGTGGTCCAGGAGGGGAGGATGCTGGCCCCCAAACCATCAAGAGAGGTGGGTAGGGATGTCATCAGTGATGAGATGAGGGCTCAGAGAGGTTAGGTGTCTTGCCCAAGGACACACAGCTCGTGAGACCTGAGGTGTGAGCCCAGGGCCTTTACAGTGAAGCAGGTGCAGACACCTTGCGTTTCTGAGAGGCATCAGCCCAGCCGAGCGCCCCTGGGCCTCTGGGATCTGGAGCCATCTGAAGCTGCCTGTCCCCTGTGGTTTAGCCCCTGTGGTCCCTCCCCTCAGCTCCCGACACAGCCCGGTGGCTGGGAGCCCGTGCCAGCCCTTCTATTATTCATGCCTCCGCTCGGTTGCCAGCGGGCCTGGGCCCAGAGGCCCGGGCTCTGCCAGGAAAGATAAGGAGCCAACACCTGACTGGCCGCTCGGAGTTCCATCTCGATTTCCCCAAAGCACACAAAGGCCTGTTGTTCCCGGCCCGGGTGGAGCGGGACCTCCTTCTCAGGGAAGGGAGATAAACGACCAGCGGGATGGCGACCGGTTAGATTTACAGCTTTTCCTGCGGCCACCTGTCCCCTCCTGTAGCTCTGCACGGGCTGAAGACGTGGATTCGCGTGTGCGACCCACACCTCTGCCTCCAGCTTTACAGCCCGTCCAGTGGAAATTGAAAGCCGAAAACAAAGATGCAAGCTCACCGAAGGGCGAAGGGAGCCCAGGGTCTCTGTGGCCCCGCCTCACGTCCCTCCCTCTCCAGCACCCAGAGCCGGGCTGCAGGCAGGTCTGGGAGCCGAGTCGCACCTTCCAGCGGCCTGACAGAGGTCCCTGGGCGTCACAGGGTTCCCTCGGTCTCTGGTCTCCCAGTGTCATGGGTGCTGTCTCGGGGGGAAGCAGGGAGCGGGGGGAGAGGAGACCCCACCAAGCTGCTGCTGACTCGGCCAGCCACAGGACTGGGTGGCAGGAAGGGTGGGGCTTAGTGCTGGGACACATGGGCGTCTTCATGGTTGGCATTCCAGGCGCAGAGATGGCTTGTGCCTCCCCCCTCTGCCCCCGTGGTGAGGCCTTTAGAGACTGTCAACAGCAACCCCCCATTTCACACATCAGGAAACTGAGGCGCAGGGAGGGGACGGGATTCATCCATGAGCCCCCAGTGATGCAGGGCCGGGCCAAGGAGGGTTCAGACAGAGGGGCGTGGGGGCGTTAATGGACAGCCCTCTGGTCTTGGGGCCTGGCAGGTCTGCCCTTGAACCCGCACTCCTCCCTGGACTAGCTGTGTGGTGGCTCACCTCCCCCTCCCCCAGCCTCAGTTTTCTTGTCCATGAAATGGGAGTGACGATGAGACCTCGCTGACGGCGTCTGGGGAAGAGAAAACAGCGCGCAGCCGGGCCTTGCAGCCAGCGCTCAGCCTGCGTGCTCCGTCAGGCCGCCGGAGGAGCACGGCCGGTGACATCACAGGGACGACAAGACCAGTTGCTGAGCGCCTACTATGTGCCAGGTGCTGGGCACAGAGGTGACTCAGGCATGGACACCGCCCTCGAGACAGTCGCCATCTGGCGAGGGGACAAGGAGCAATGGAGAGGCAGAGAGCAGACCCCGCCCTGGTGGGAAGGGCGAGGGTGGGAGAGAAGGAGGTGTTCCAGGAATGATGAATTCTTCCAGGAACAGGGACCACAGGGGAGAAGCAGGTGGGACTTGTGTTGTGCCCTGACCGGAATCTGCCTGGCTGCACTTGGGGTGCGGGTGTGGGGAGGCGGGTGCTGAGTGCTGGGCAGGGAGCCTGGGGTGGCCAGCGGGGTCAGACCTCCCAGGGAGGCCCCTGTGTGCCAGGCCTACGGGCTCAGATTTAACCCCAATGGGGGATTCTCCCTGAGGGTCCCACTTGCTGGGTGTCAGGGATGCCAGGCTCCTGGGCTGAGATGAGCGGGAGTAGCTGGAAAGGGCCGGTGTGTGTGTGGGGGGGGGGGGGGGGGGGGGGGG